GGGGAGCTCCCCAACCCCCTGATGGGCCCTGCTCTGTGCGTGACAGTGGGGAGCTCCCCAACCCCCTGATGGGCCCTGCTCTGTGCGTGACAGTGGGGAGCTCCCCAACCCCCTGATGGGCCCTGCTCTGTGCGTGACAGTGGGGAGCTCCCCAACCCCCTGATGGGCCCTGCTCTGTGCGTGACAGTGGGGAGCTCCCCAACCCCCTGATGGGCCCTGCTCTGTGCGTGACAGTGGGGAGCTCCCCAACCCCCTGATGGGCCCTGCTCTGTGCGTGACAGTGGGGAGCTCCCCAACCCCCTGATGGGCCCTGCTCTGTGCGTGACAGTGGGGAGCTCCCCAACCCCCTGATGGGCCCTGCTCTGTGCGTGACAGTGGGGAGCTCCCCAACCCCCTGATGGGCCCTGCTCTGTGCGTGACAGTGGGGAGCTCCCCAACCCCCTGATGGGCCCTGCTCTGTGCGTGACAGTGGGGAGCTCCCCAACCCCCTGATGGGCCCTGCTCTGTGCGTGACAGTGGGGAGCTCCCCAACCCCCTGATGGGCCCTGCTCTGTGCGTGACAGTGGGGAGCTCCCCAACCCCCTGATGGGCCCTGCTCTGTGCGTGACAGTGGGGAGCTCCCCAACCCCCTGATGGGCCCTGCTCTGTGCGTGACAGTGGGGAGCTCCCCAACCCCCTGATGGGCCCTGCTCTGTGCGTGACAGTGGGGAGCTCCCCAACCCCCTGATGGGCCCTGCTCTGTGCGTGACAGTGGGGAGCTCCCCAACCCCCTGATGGGCCCTGCTCTGTGCGTGACAGTGGGGAGCTCCCCAACCCCCTGATGGGCCCTGCTCTGTGCGTGACAGTGGGGAGCTCCCCAACCCCCTGATGGGCCCTGCTCTGTGCGTGACAGTGGGGAGCTCCCCAACCCCCTGATGGGCCCTGCTCTGTGCGTGACAGTGGGGAGCTCCCCAACCCCCTGATGGGCCCTGCTCTGTGCGTGACAGTGGGGAGCTCCCCAACCCCCTGATGGGCCCTGCTCTGTGCGTGACAGGGGGGCGCTCCCCAACCCCCTGATCGACCCTGCTCTGTGCGTGACAGGGTACGGAGCCCCAACCCCCCTGATGGGACCTGTGTGGTGCGTGACAGGGGGCAGCGCCCCAACCCCCTGATTGGCCCTGCTCTGTGCGTGACAGGGGGTGGCGCCGCAACCTCCCTGACCCTGTCT